GRAWTKKKKGRMMYCCMMYKGGAAACATTTGGGTTAAGRCCTTTGGTATCATCTGGAGAAATTGTTTCCCATGCATAGTCACAAGTGTGACTTYAAGACTTCCATGTGTTTGTAGAACTTGAATGATTAGAAKCGAACCAGGAATTGCCTGTCAGCTTTCTGGAGCTGCTGAGGAGGAACTTCTCATTACCAGCATCTGGATAACTGTGTTATGAGAAATCTTTGTTATTATTGAACAAGTATTTTTTTTTGTGGTGAACAGTTAGAGATTTTGCATTTGGTAGCAGTTGATGAATAAAAGGTCCTCATTAAATACTCTCTTCCTCCAGTTCCTCTGCTCTCCAGCATGGTGTAACTGTTGGGATCCTGTGGGTTAATGCTTTGTTCAGCCTCCATTCCCATTAGTGTGTCTTCATATTGGGAATGTGTTTCATGCATGTTCTGCAGACAAATATCAATCTCTCTCAGGATTTTTGAAGTTTCCTACCATTCTCCCAAAAAAACCCAGGAGAAAGATTTGGTCACACTCTGAATGCTGAAAGATTGATCTGATGACTGTCTGTGTATGTAAGCTGCCTTACTGTGCCTCTTTGTAAAGGGAGAAATAGTCYGGTGTGCAGTTGGGTGATGCTGTTTCTTCCTGTTGCTATACAACATTGCTATAAGCAAATAGTTGACTTGTAGTTTGTTAGTGAAATGAACTGAAGTGGAAATCCATCTGCTAAACAGGAAAGAAAGCTGTGTTGTATAGTTGCAGCACTTCTTTGCTGTCTGGGTCTGCACTGTGGTATATTTAAGAAAATGGGGCAGGAATACAGGGGAGCTGCTTGGGATATGCCCAGGAGCTCCCTGCTATTTTCTGCTCTTACCTAGTGCCAGCCTTTGTCTCCTCTGAGTCTTGAGTTGAAATAACTCTACTCTGTGTGACCCAAATCTTCAGGGTTATGACTCTAATACACCTATTATTCCAGCTGGTGGCTGTAAGGTTTCCATTGTTGCTTTCCAGACATGCAGGCAGTTGCTTATGAAGAGCCGAAGCACTGGTGCTCCATTGTCTACTACGAGCTGAACAATCGCGTCGGAGAGGCGTTCCACGCGTCCTCCACCAGCATCCTGGTGGATGGCTTCACTGATCCCTCAAACAACAAGAACAGATTCTGCCTGGGGCTGCTCTCCAACGTCAACCGCAACTCCACCATTGAGAACACGAGGCGGCAYATTGGCAAAGGTGAGTTTGGGATCTGGCCGTCCATTTTGGAATGGAGTGATGTTTCTCAAGGTGTGACAACCTGGGCCGCTTCCCTCAAGAGTAAGCTGTTCTTCCCTAGTGTGTGGGAGAAGCACTTGTGTTGGTAAACATATAATTTTCTGGCCTAGTCTTATAAACAAAGTATTGTTCCTACCTGGTGTGTAATTACAGGAAGTGTTTACCCTTAATCAATTTTTAATTGCCTGAAGGCTATTGAAAKCTAAATTAGAATGAGAGGTTAAGGCAGTTTGTCTAATGAAATGTCTTGATTTATCTTAATTATTGCTGTATATGGAAATCCAAATTGTGGTTCTTGGCACCACATTTTTTAGGTAGCCTTAGTTCTAACTAAACTAGCTATCCTGACATGTATTTTGGGAGATAACGTGCTAAAACAGTTTCTTCCAAATGCATTTTTCACGGGCTGGTGATTCTTTCAGCAGGAATTTTGTGCTTCCTTTTTGTGTCTCTGACAGTCTTGCAAAAGAGAAAATCTTCACCTTTATGCCTGACTAATAGAGTCTTCTGTTCTGAGAACTCACCTGTAATGCRAATGGCAGGGAAAACTGAAAGGGCCATTCCTGCAAGGCAAATTTTTTAGATATTTACATTATTASTAAACTGTAAATTTTCTGAGACAGTTGAGGGTTCAGTATGCCCCAGCAGTGGGGTGTGTGTTTTACATGCCAATGCATGAAGAGGAGAAAAGAATTGAAGCTGAAGAGAACTGTCGGGTCCTTAAGTCTGAGCCCCCAGTCTGGAGAGCTTTCCTCTTCTTGAGAACTTGTGCAGCTCTCAGCAGTGCACCACACCTGTGTTGTGCCACTCAAGAGCTAATACTTCTTCCTTCTTTTCCTCCCCATCCATCTTCCCAAGTATCAGGATATTTATTTAACACCTCATTCATTTTTCCTGTTAAGAGTAATGCAGCTGCAGGCAGAGTTCTGCTGAAGCACTTAACTGCGTGTGTACCAAAGCAGAGCGTGGGAGAAACAAGGATGCTGTTCAATAAGTGGATGTGTACAAGTTATGGTGTTGTAGAACTGTTAGTCTTTGAGAAAGGAGGAGTAAATCCCAAACTTGAAGACATAGCCATAAATGTTTTTGCAGATCAGGTGGGAGTATATATGTACCCACATTGTCAGTGGTGAAATCTTAACATGACAGAGCACAGTCAAGTCTTTCTTACTGGACTGCAGTTGAGTTCTCTAATTCTATGTGTTCACCTCTGTGATTTGTGACATTGTGAGAGGTGAAAGGTTTAAAGAGCAAATAAGCCATTTCTAAACACAGAAGGTAAATTTTCTTGATTTCTCAAAACCTTTGGAATTGGCTCCTACTGACACAAAGGTTCTCTGTATGTTGCTGTTCTGGGGCTTTGCTGCCATGGATGGGTGAGCAGGCACTAGAAGGGAAAAGGACTGTAAAATTAGTGTGTACCCTCATTTGGCAGATATGTCTGCGGAATATAAAGGCCTTTTTTTTTTCCCCATCTAGCTTTCTGGAATTAAAGCTAGATGACAAAACTCATGCTACTCAATTTAGCATTCAGGACTTTTCCAGAGAATTGAGCTTGGGGCTGCTTTAATATCTACAAATGATGCAGCAGGTTTCTGCTCTCTCTGCTTACATTTCCAATTATGGTTTTACTTAAATACAATAAGAAAAAGTTCAAGTGGTCAGGTTTTCCAATAGAAAGCATCAAAGCTACTGTGCTTGCTGGTTCAGTGTTGTTGAATATACAACATGTTTATTCCCCTTACATATATACATGCATGCATACATACATACATAAATGCATACATAACCTTTCAGATTGCCTGCTGATGAAAGAGAAGAACAAAAATGAAGTTTTAAGAGAGATGATGCTCTGATATGCACTTAAGGCTTATCTCTTWAAGTAGAATCCTTTCTGTGGAGACAGAGCATGAAAACAGACCCAGTGTGAATTTGTCAACCCTCCTTATGCCAGCCTTCTCCCCGCAGGTGTCCATCTCTACTATGTTGGHGGGGAGGTGTACGCTGAATGTCTGAGTGACAGCAGTATCTTTGTGCAAAGTCGGAACTGCAACTACCACCACGGGTTCCATCCCACCACAGTCTGCAAAATCCCCAGTGGCTGCAGTCTGAAGATTTTCAATAATCAAGAGTTTGCTCAGCTRTTGGCTCAGTCGGTGAACCATGGCTTTGAGACAGTGTATGAGCTTACTAAGATGTGCACTCTACGGATGAGTTTTGTAAAGGTATGTGAACATTTGCTTGATATTATTTTGTAAGCAGAATTATTTTTTCTTAATGTGGTAATTTTGAACGGTCCAGTAACTCCCTTCATCAGCCTATTAATGGGTGTCGAATTTTAAGTATGGAATGCTCGTTAAGTCTAAGACAGATCTTAATGAATGAAGTATTTTTGGATAGAAATCCATCTGACCCACATACTTAGAAAGCTTGAGGTGACTTGTGGAAGATGTTTCTTTATAGAAGAACTCTAAATCATGACCAGCTGCTCTGAAATTAGGAGCTGCAGTCATTATTTAGAATAATATGCATGCTTTTCTATTCTAGGAAGGCATGCAAGRTCCAGATTGGTGATGTGGCTGTTGTGTGAGTGTCAACATAGGTACAAAAAGGCTGGTCATTATGTGAAAGTAATCAAATGAGTATTAGGATTATTCTGAAGGGTTTTTCATGTTGGGAGGATGGGAACTTTCAGATGTGTTACGACAGGGGTTCATCMAATGGGATAGGTTGTTTACAGCTCTGCATTCTACAGAGTTGTATGGCAGTGTTGCCTAAACCRTCAAACAGGACCTCTTGTGTATTGGAAGTTGCACTTAACAATGCTCAGAACTCCTGCCACTCATGCTGGGAGCTGGGAAGACTTTTCACTAGGGATTAATACAGAGCAGAGCACACTGTGCCTGCAGATGTCATGGTATCGTCTCCAAGCCTGCCCCAAAAATGGTTCAATTACAAAAAAATATTGGATGCTTTTAAATTATTTCTTTATGTCATTGGTAATTACTGTAACAGAATCAGGTATGAGCTGAAACAAAACCTGTCTTAGTTTGAGGAACAGTGTGATGGGGAGTGACCATGCCCTCTTGCTCCAAAGAGGAATTGTTTCTGACTTACTGCTCAGTTTATCATCTCCATCATCCTGAGAATTTGGTTTTTGTCAGATGGATGCCTCACCCCGTTTCTGTGTCAGTGTATCACCTCATCCTTTAGTCTATTGATCTGAGAAGAATTGAATATCCCCCTCTTCAGAGGCTTTTTAGGGACCTCAGGCAGCTGGCAGTGATGTATGGGGAAATATTGCACTGCCACAGGTTATGTCTTTAAAGACTTTCCATTCCAAGAGATCAAGAGATTTCAAACAATACTTTTTCCACATTTATGATTTTTTTAGCTTCTGATTTGTTTGTTGAAATGTGATAATAGTTGGTGGATCAAGGGTGCTATGCTAGCTACCCTGCTGATAATGATTGTTGGAAGTCGTTTCGGTAAGAAAGAAATATGCTTCTYGTGTATTTATTATTATAAAATAAGGTGATTTGTTTTTTCTTTCCCCATTTATGATTCTGTTTCCAGGGTTGGGGAGCTGAGTATCATCGCCAGGATGTAACGAGCACTCCATGCTGGATAGAGATACATCTCCATGGTCCCCTTCAGTGGCTGGATAAAGTACTTACTCAGATGGGCTCTCCTCATAATCCTATTTCTTCAGTGTCTTAAAAGGTCCCAAGCTCCTGCATTTTGGAAACAGTTGAGCCTTGCATGTACTTGAAAGATGTATGAGTCAGACACACATTTTTATTTTTTTCCCCCTCAACTGGCAACAGCTGAAAAAAAAGCCATGAAAACACTTGACTTCTGTGACCAACTGTTGGATTCAGAAAACAAAGATAAATAAACCCCTTTGACATACTGTTGCTGTAAAGAATCCTAGTTTACATTGTAATGTACTGTTGTGGAGTTGRTTTGCAGGGCTTAGTACAAGAGGGATGACGGAGCCAAAGGCAAGCTCAGTATGCTGGACTGAGTTCCCAAAGGATCTTCCTGTAGCCGGGTGCTCTTAAGGTTCTCCTTCCTTACATTCAGCACTCACTGGTTTCCCCCCGTGTCCTCTGGAGCTAAGAGTGGATGATGGCCAAGTCTGCTTTTTGCAGGCTCTCTTCAGTACTTCTCAAAAACATTAAATTGATGATTGCTATTCTCATTAAAAATACAAGAAATCATAAGGTTTGATCTCAGTAACTGTACTATCTCTGAAATTGTGTCCTGACCATACTGCTGTAAGAATGTTAGGTATGTTTTTTTGCTAAATGTATGTATGGTGTATTTGAAAGTTTAGAAAGTAATTAGATTTAGRCCATAAAGGAATTAGGAATATTTGAATGGGGGGAGGTGGGAGTGGGAAGGGAAAATGACAACTGAAATGTAGAATATATTGTAAACATAGTGTATTAGTTTAAACTGAGGTCTGAATTTTGTTGTGCATTTTGTTTTCATAGTGGCTTCATCTTGTTAGTTCTGACTATTTTTGCCTCTTCCTTTTCGCTCAAAGCAATTTTGCAGCTTATTTTACCCACGAAGAGGACAAAAKGATTAATTACTGCAGTTTGAAGGCTGCAGCTCTTATGTATTTCAAGACAAATTTGTACAGAGTGCTCTTTAACTATTGAGCAGTTTTATACAGTTTATGTAACAAAAGTAGGCTTTTAATTTTGTGAGAGAATCTTATTTTGCCAAACCTAGTAACTGTTAATTGTTTGGAYGACTTCAATATCCCTGTTTGGGTTTATTTCAAACTTAAAAAAATTATATATTTTTAATTTCTTTTTTTTACTGCTTGGTTTATTTTCTTCTCTTTGCTCTTTTATATTCATGTAAGCTGTAGTACTTTTAAGTACTTTTATTCCAAAACTAGTGAGTCCTCTTTACTGGAAATTTTGAATAAAACCTATTGTTATTGCTTACATTTGATTAAAACCTTGTCTTGTTGACTTCTTAGCAGACTCTTAAGAAACCASATAAAGATGTGGTCTTGGAGGAGGACCAAGTAGAAATGAAGATATGCTGAGCTTAGACATAATGATTAGTACAGGTTAGTAGCCCTGTTAAACTCAGAAGCGTGAAAGGAAGCTGAGCAGCAGAGATGAATGTTGTGCTCAGCCAGACACAGAATGCATCTGTCTCACTGTAATGAATAATAGCTCTTTTTGGAGGATAAGTCAGTCTTTTTTGTCTTTTCCCCTCCTTTTTTGGTTTTTTTTTTTTTTTTTTTTTTGAAGTTGATTCCACTGCTTGGCTCAGTATACATTTTTAAAATTAACAATTGTTCCCCTGCATAGGGGGAAAAAAATCCATAATGTTCAAATTCCTGTTGAGAAGAACCTGGTACTTTTAAATTCCAATAATGGGTTTTCAGGGTTTTTTCAGATGCAGTTTGACATACCCTTTTCATTAAGAAGCAGTCATAGCACAAATGTCATTAAAATAAATAAAATTTAAAGAAGACCAAAAAGAGAAAGAATGCTGTTTGCTGCTCAGTGTCTTTGTTTTTGATATCTTCAGCCCCTGCTGCATAAACTCCCAGCTGTTCCCAACAGTTTCATTCCTTTTGTTGGAATGCAGCTGTGAGTGACTTCTTTTTAATTAATGCTGTAACCATCCATCATGCAAGTTTTAAGGAGTGTTTCTACTTGGATGTTTTCGTATTTGGATGATCCTATACAAGTTTTGATAAACTTTCAAAAAGCGTTGGAGTAAGAAAAGACAGTTTCACGTTGCGACTACTTTGAATGTTGCTGTCTTTTATGCTTATGTTGCTGGCTTTTAATACCTCTCTGTTTTTCCTAAACAGGGATTAAAATTAGAAAATACAGCTCTGCAGTGCCTCAAAAACTTTCAGTGGTAATCTGAATTAASTAGGACCTGCAGAATCCCAGTTTTTCTAAGTTCCTTTTGTTAATTTTTCTATAATACTATTGAAGTGCTGGGTACATAATATTTCCTTGTCTATTATCCAGCTCTTTGTGRTGCAGAGACCTTAGGTGCAAGGAGAAAGTGGACCTTCATATAATGGCACAGAGTATCTCAGCTGTACCTTATTAAATAAGATCAATGGATTGGAGTAGCACCTGAGACTCTCTGGTGGTTTTCTCTGGGTTATTTTTTTTTCACAGTACTGGTAAGGGCTGTTTTGGATTTGTGCTGGAGRCACTGTTGATAACACAGGGATGTTTTTGTTGTTGCKGAGCAGGGCTTGCATAGATCCAAGGCCTTTCCTGCCTCTTACCCCATCCCAGCAGTGAGAGGGCTGGGGATGCACAAGGAGCTGGGRGGGGACACAGCTGGGACAGCCAACCCCAACTGACCCAACATACATCCTATAACATATGGAGTCATGCTCAGCATGTAAAACTGGGGAMGAGGAARGGAAGGAGGGGGCATTTGGAGTGATRGAGTTTKTCTTCCCAAGTTACAGTTAAGTGTGGTGGAGCCCAGATTTACTGGAGATGGCTGAGCACCTGCCTGYCCATGGGAAGTGGTGAATGAATTCCTTGTTTTGCTTTGCTTGTGGTGTTTTTCTTTACTTATTAAATTGTCTTTATCTCAACCCACAAGTGTTTTTACTTTTACCCTTCCAATTCTCTCMTYCACCTCACCTGGRGTGAATAGTCTCTGCGTGGTGTTTAGTTACCAGCTGGGGTTAAACCTCAACAGACTTAACAGCCAGAAACGCACGAGGTAGGACAGAAGTTACCTGGGAGGAAACAATTGCTGGCTTGAGGCTGTTGTGAAACTTTTTGGAGCATTTTGAAGAACTTTTCTTATTGATTTGCCCTCCTTTGGATAGYTGGAAAAGGCAAAGGACAAGAAAGAAAGGAAAAGAGTTTCTTGCAGACTTCTCACAAAACAGAATGATGAGAACTAGAAACATGGACAGAGCCTGCGGTGTCAGCTCTGTAACCAGGTGAGTTCCTGCTGCTTATTTGGTTTTATTTCCCCACTGTTTCATCCATTTAGTCAGCTGAATGAAAGAGTTAAACACAGAAGACAGTACTTCAAAAGCCAAGGCAAGTCCCTGTTCAGGAGAAACTGAAAAGACCTGTATTGAGGAAAAGCAGTAAACTGTATATGTGGAGACAATTCCATGGAGCTGAATGTGTTTTGAAATCTTTGCTTTGGCTTTTAAATGCTGGCAATCAAGTTTTTTCCCCTCACTGGAGATGGCTTTTTAACCATTTAAAAGCCTCTGGTGAGCATTTAAAATATTTGTTGAAAGCTATGAGAGGTAGTCATGCTTATGTGTATGGGTTTAGGATAGTTTGGAGAGAAATAATACATGTTTTATCATATCCTCTATCAGAGTYATGGGCTTGTTCTTTTAATGCTTGCTAACCTGTTTTTGCTATCTCCTTTGTTAAAGCCATTTCCTCACTAAATCACTCCTCTTGCTACTGTAGCTATTGCCTTTTTTGTCTTAAGASAACTATAGTTGTTTGTTCTAGCCTCTAAACAATACACATGTGTGAGTATCATTGTTTGAAGACAATAAATCAATGTAGAGGTGTCTGAAATCGATATGGACCTTGCTTGGTTTTTCCTTTGTCTTGCCATACTCTAAACCTTTGATCAACACCTTGGAAGTAACCCATGTTTTGGTGCTGTCTTTATTGATTGCTGATGGTTTGTTCTGTGAAGCACAGTGTMGCCTCTTAACTCTGCTCTTGAGATTCATGATTCATAGCCATGAGCAGGCAGTCACCTTTTTCTGGATGCTTGCCTAAATATACAGCATAACTCTCCCATCACCAGCCATGGTGGAGCTGTATATTTTTTACACMCATCATCTCACAGTTCATTTTCTTAAATATAATTGTGATTCTGTGCAGGAGGGAAGGGAAAGTGGCTCTTATTTTCCTTTGCCCCTTTCTGTCCTTGATTTAACTCARTGAAGAGAGACACCCTTGCCTTGTTGTCCTTCGGGGATCTTCTCTCTTCTCTGTTTTCTATTCTCCCCTTGCTGATTTCTGTATTCTGGATGATTTCTCATGTTTTCTTGAATTTGAAGCTTTTTGTCATCCTCGGGAGGTGCTGTCCCTGTGCCACTGTGGGTAATGTGTCTGTGTGCTTTCATGTGCTGTGAATTGCCGAGGCAGAGGAGTGGTTTCCCACTTTGTTCAGTTTAATTGAGGTCATTACAGGTGGCTCTCGTTTCATTCACCACACCTGTAGGAGACGATGGTCCCTTCAGCTGCAAGGGCTGTGTCCCATGGGGTGTGAGGTGAACTCTTCTTATGAAGCAGATGGAGAGGCAGCCTCCTGATCAAAGCCTTTCGCAAACTTTAGCAACACAGAAGTGACTCCAGCAAGATTTCCAGTGTAAGCATCCTCTGGGCTTGATGTGATTACAGAGGTGAGCTGATCTATGGCAGGGAATGGACAAAATGGGTATAGTTTTTTGTGCAGGTCTGATGCATAAATGCGTATAAATAAATCCTTTGCGGTTAAAAATGTGGATCTGCAGTGTATGCTGCTAATTCATTTTTGTAATCAAAAGTAATGTCAAATAAACCCCTAAATTTTCCAAACAGTCAAAAAGTCTGGAATTTAATTGAGTCATCTTTCAGGAATACTAAGATTTTTTTTTTTATTCTAATGGATGCAGATTTCTAGGGTTTTTTAGGAATTGGTTTGTGATTTCCCTTTTTCATCCTGCTGCATGAATTGAAAAATCTGTATCTTCGTGATCCTGCCAGCTCATCTGAGGCTCTGAAWCTGTAAAGCTCAGAGGAGGCTACTGTAGTTTAATGTTGAAGAAATAAGCACCTTCACTTGCTCCAGATTGCATACAGGAATTAAGATATCTCATAGCAGTGATAAAAACCTGCCACTTACAGCTCTGTACTATAGTAAATA